GGAAATGTCGTTATTTCTTTCTTGATGGGAATCAGTGATTTGCGTCGAGGATATTGAAAACAAACTTGTGGTATTTCCCAGGAAAATTATTCGTTCACTTCTCTATATTTTCCGTTAGATGAGTAATGATTACTGATTTAGTGGGTCGTTAAGAAACCGTATCAGTGATTTTATTTGAAAAGCCCGAAGGTTTTCCTTTTCCTTCCCCAAACGCCAATAATATCTGATTGTTGGAAGGTAATACATTACTTTATTTGCACCTGTATATCTTTTATTTAACGTTTCCCTACTTTTCTTTCAAAACAAATTTCGTAATCATATGCTCACACATATGTCAAAAATATATTGACGTCGATAGAGGCCACACAAGATTCTGTTCAACATGCGGAAACAAAATTTTTGGAGTGGAAAATGCTACCGATGCCAGGAATGAAAATAATGATTGAATCTTGCTTCAGAAAAATTTCGACAACAATTTCTAAGGACCAGAAGTATCATCTTGCTTTGGAAAAACAATTACAATTTTTTTTCACTGTTGCGAATTTCAGCTCAACATATTTTTTAAATCCTTCTGATCCGAATAAGCACAAATCTGTGACATCATATTGAATGTCTGTAGCTCTTTTCAAGTCTGGGTTGCGTGTACGGTTCTTTAATCCTGTACTGTACATCGAATAAATCGGAGCTTTCGACGAGTTTTTTGCGACCACTACAGATAATAGGGTTCATTCATGCCATAAGTGCAAAAACAACCAGATAATAGCGCCTTTAGCAACGCATTTTTTTTTTACTTGTCTTAATACCAGTCCCGTTGGATCGCAGGCCATAAACCGTGTCTTCCGGTTTCCGCCTATGGGTGAAACTTCGCCAGGACTTCCAGGAATCTTCCCTCTCATCGTCTCCGACCCCGTCATCTCTTTCTTCGTCATTTTCTTCCCTATTTTCCGAATTACCCTCGTCTCTGTCCGTCCCGTCGCTTTCTTCCGATGAATCGAATATTAGTCGATCGTACATTGGCATGACACTTGGGGGTTTGACTGGCGCAGAATTTTTGCCCGGGGGTCCTGGTGGAAGACCGGAAAGGACCTAGGACCTAGCGCTAGCCTTGGGACCACGACTAGGCTCTGCAAAGCCCCTGGCCCTTGACGACAAACATGACGAAGGACGACTGACGACCAACAAGCTAAGGTTTGGATCACTTTGAAATTGAATAATACAATTTTTGATTCAAACTTGATCAAAAACAGAACTTCAATAGCAAAATCATTCGTAAAAACGCCCCGAAAAGAAAACCTTGGTCTCGAGCAGCTTTGGGGAGCTAGAAAGAAAATCAATGAACATTGAAAAAAAAATTTTTTTGAGGAGAAAAGTCGTCTTAGATCCAAAGTTTTCCCTCATTATTCGGAATAATATTTTTCAGCGTCTATTTCTTGTTCGGAAATGAAACAGGAGAAAAAGCACCCAGCAAAAATTGCACCCGAAAAAAACCCCATCGCCAAATAGTTCAACGAGACACAATTCGTGTTCTTTTGAAAAGTATCTAGCATTTCCTCATACATACCATCATTGCAAAAGTGGATTCACGCAAATATTTTTCGCATACGCAATCTTTGTTCACTGCATAATGAATAATACTAATTTTTTATTGAGTTCATTTTGTACTGTTACGCATAAAATTTCTGGTCTCTGGCATTGGGGGATTTTGCACTGAGTGTTTTTACTAATCTGCTTATTTCCTTTCAAAAGCACCCGGAGTTTAGGGTTTGATTCAAAGACTGAGTGTTTCCGTCAGGGAGATTTTTTAAAATCTTTCTGTCAGCTCACGAACATGTGCCAAAAGGTCCAGAACACTTTGTACCATCAAACCTTCCGCTTGAAATGCACAGCCGAGAAATAATATTTTGTATATTTGAGAGACATTTTTCTCGATTGAAACGATTCAAGCTTTTCATAGGGTATATTTCGAACTAGACAGATGTAAAAAAATATATAATTGCTATTTCATTCCATTGATTCAGAGCTGCTGCAGAAGACGTCGAGGAATGTGTGTTGAAGGATGAGTCCACCGCATTAACTTGATTAGAACCCGTCTTTGATGGGTCTACATCTCCGAGCAATCCTCCCATTCATCCTCCCATCAATTACGAATCTTTGTCACAAGTGAGTCCCAGGAAGCCCGCGATTCCGGCATTTAAACGTGGAAGCGATCCGAGAATGAGGAAGGAGCAAATTAAAATGAGTAATCCTTTCAGAGCTTAGCTTTACAGCTTCTTCTTTCCTTGCGCCAAGCGTCGGTTTCTAACCCTGTTCTTATAAAGCTTTGGGATGTTAGCCAGTATTCAAAAGGATACTGGCGTGAATGTAAAGAAGCTTGATGATCTTTTGACGAACTATCAATCGGGTAGCAATGAACCCAACTCTGGTGGGAAGTTGAGCAGGGCACAGTTCGAGGAGATGTGGAAAAAGTCAATGCCGGGTTTTGAGTCCATGGCAGGAGTGGTGTTCAATGCCGTTGATACTGACGGAGATGGCCAAGTTAATTTCCAGGTTCTGTCATTAATTTCTCGAAGCTACTGTATTATAATTATGCGAAGATACTAGAAATGGAACACTATTCATCCACGCCAAGAAACACAGAAAAATCCTTGATAATCGTACGCTAGGTTCATTTAGAAGGTCATTCCTGCATCTTGAGATTTTATGAAACGCTGATGAAGGTATTAACCTTGGAATACTGAACATGAAATTTCCGCCTTTAATGTGAATTTTGTGATTGTCGATGTAACGGAATGCTTCTTGAAAAACGGGGATAATGTAATGGATACGGAATCAATGAATCGTTCGAAGATTTTTATCGACTACGAAGACTTTCTCTTTCTCGACGAATATCAGTTTTTCAACTTTCATGATCATTCGAAAACGTATGTTCATCGTCGCGCGACGAAGACTGCAAGATTACATGGATCTTGCAAATTTAGGGGTGTAGGCGAAACTTCAGTTGCGATTATTTTCTCAACAAAAACACTTAGACACAGATGATGCAGAATCTAAAGGCTAAACTTTTACATGATCCCAACTGATAGAAACCCAAACGGCAAGCATGCTGATGGCTCACGAAGTACCTTCCGCTGGTTTTACAAATGCCTTTTCCCAAGATTTCAATACCTTATTTATGTTAAGAAATTAAAAAATATATTACGTTATGTCCCAAATTGATGATCGCTTCATTCACTATATAGTTCCTCCAGTGAACTACACCCAGTACACACATCTCTACGTTGAATTTGCAGGGACTCCAGTACTTCATTTATTCTTTTACGTGAAGAGGTTTTGATGAATGGAATAAAGTCTCATTTGTTCATTTTATTCGACTGAAATGATTTAATGTCTGAATCATTCAAAGAGTTCATAATATTCTTAGATGTCCTACTCAGTGGAAAATCCCCGAACCCTTGTAGAAAGCCTGAAATAATAAAAAAATATCGTATACGCTCTACATCAAGTTTTCTATAATTCAGCCAAAATTAATTAAAAGCCGTAAAATTCGATCAACGGAGGTTTGACCTGGATTGTTGCGTTGGAAATTTTTAAAACGCATTCGTCTCAAAGGGATGGTCCAATGATTCACTGGAATTTGAGTTAGGAAGTCTTTAGACTTCTTAGAGAGTTTATAACATTTAAATTTAAAGAGGTTGAAATATACCAGACTGAATCATCAATGACTCTCACAGCTTTGCGTCAAAATATTTTCGTGGGTCTTCATCGAAATTATCCTCGATAAAATTCAGCATATGCCTCAGAAAATAAACATTTATATCGAAATGAATAACGAAGCATCACTAAGTTGAATGTTTTCAGTCAAAATAAAATTTCTGTACGCGAATCATGAGCATTTTTATTCATCAAGGACGTAGTGTATGGGGTCAAGATGGCCATGGACGAGCAAGTGCTGGATAAAATGACATGGACATTGAAGCTGTACGAGGCAACCGGGGCGTCCCAAGTGGCCTATTCCAAGGTCACCGCCATGGCAAGGGACGCCATCAAGCTTGCCAAAGGGATAGAAACTGACAAAGCTGAGTTGGAGCAGCACACTAAAACCCTGATGGATGTATTGTCGACCTATCTGACAACTGCCGGCGCCTCGACGTCCGCCCAATCCTACAACTTGCCAACTGTTATCAGCGCTGTGCAAACAGCTGAAGACTTCTTAGAGAGTTTATAACATTTAAATTTAAAGAGGTTGAAATATACCAGACTGAATCATCAATGACTCTCACAGCTTTGCGTCAAAATATTTTCGTGGGTCTTCATCGAAATTATCCTCGATGAAATTCAGCATAGGCCTCAGAAAATAAATATTTTTATATCGAAATGAATAACGAAGCATCACCAAGTTGAATGTTTTCAGTCAAAAGAAAATTTCTGTACGCGAATCATGAGCATATCTATCCATGAAGGACGTAGTGTATGGGGTCAAGATGGCCATGGACGAGCAAGTGCTGGATAAAATGACATGGACACTGAAGCTGTACGAGGCAACCGGGGCGTCCCAAGTGGCCTATTCCAAGGTCACCGCCATGGCAAGGGACGCCATCAAGCTTGCCAAAGGGATAGAAACTGACAAAGCTGAGTTGGAGCAGCACACTAAAACCCTGATGGATGTATTGTCGACCTATCTGACAACTGCCGGCGCCTCGACGTCCGCCCAATCCTACAACTTGCCAACTGTTATCAGCGCTGTGCAAACAGCTGCCAATCTGTACAAGACCATGGGCAAAAACCCTGTTTGATTACAGAGGCTGTTACAAAATATTCATCCCATCTTTCAATGTTTATATAGTATTTTAAAACCACCGAAATCGAAAGAAATACAGTGAGACCCCGAGATGCGGACGTTATTGATGCTTGGACCTTGTCCCTAAGACATAATGTCTGCATGTTGGATCACGTTTTCCGATGGACTACGCTGGGAAATTATTCAATTGGCTCTCCAGTTCATCAAAAATTATGAATAAATTCCCAAAAATGGAATAAAATGTGTTTCTCAACTTGAACATGCAGAATATAACTATGCAGAAGAATCTGATCTTTTCGCACCTTAAAGACTCCAAAAAGCAAACTAAACTGTGCACAGATGACGAAGAATACTCCAAAAATATGAAGCACAAAATTAACCTGTTTTTGATTAAACATTTGAGTAAATTTATAATGAAATTATTGTTTTCCTTTTTTGAATATAAACAGCTCATTGTTCTCAATAGGTATCCAAATTCAAAAATTCTAGAAATGTTGGGAAAGTGCCAGTATGTCGAGACATTATCCGGAGGTCCAAGTTTCCCAAGGTCGATCGTCCGTACGTCGGGGTCTCAAAATAATGCCGCAATGTCGATTAAATGATTTAATTATTCACGTGAGCAATAGATAGCCTATCCTTTTCAGGGCCTGTTTCATCTTGCTGTTTTTTTATCTCCTGCCACAAATCATGAATAAATCATGTAAGTATTTCGTTGGCAAAAATTGCTCGTGCAAATTAGGAAAACACGCCTACGACAGACTCCAACTACTCTTTTAATCGACTTCCAAAGGCGCACAATTAGCAAATCAAATTAGGCTGGCATTCAGCTTTCTAATTCATGTAATGTTCTTTTACCGGCTAGTCGTTTTCCGATCAGCCAGGAATTCGTTGAACTACAGTCGACGAGAATGGGAAAATAGAGTTACAGACTCTATGATCAGTTCACTTTCTACAGCAACAGGATTACCCGAGGGAGATATCAATGGCTATCTTTCGAAATTCTCCCAAGTTGCTCGGAGGGGACGAATGAACGAAGAAAATTTTAAGGTAATTGATGAAAAAAAAACAAATTGATTTAAGACCGCTGTCGGAGGTGTTGCGAATTTTAGCTTGGACATCCTGAAATTGATTTCGATTTCAACGGCTTCAATAAATGCATTCGGCTCACGATCACAAAATAATAAACCTGAAAGCATTATTCGTTTCAGCCGCAGGGAAATTGGTCTTGTTCAATAAAGTGTATTTTATTTACTTCTGTTATGGCGAAATTTCGCAGAAGAATTCGGTGTGAAATTGCATCCTCTCTTACCTGAACATTCCCTTCAGATTACTTCCCCAGAGAATAATGAATCTTTAAAAATTGGCTCTAAGTACTTTTATAAAAAGTTGTCCATTGACTTAGCTAAAGAGTCCATAATTGCACTACATAGGTGTGATAAGTATCAACATATGTTCTCGGTCACTTGAACGTACGCAGAATTTGAAAAATGTTCGTCAAATGGACCAAAAGAAAAATGCTCAACGGAATCCTAACTTAAAAAGAGCCATACCTGATGGCATTGCGGAAATCATTATTTACGATTTCCTGTTCATACGAGAAGCTTCGTTTCGCTTTCATGAATCTTAAAAATATATATTTTTTGGGTTTGAAATGCCAGATTTCAGGGGGTTTCAGGCACGAATAATTCAAATTCTCCTGCATTTCTTTTTAAGACGGTTTTCAGCAAACTGCTGCCGGGTGGACTAAAGTCAGCCACATCGACCTTCCGGGCCATCGACACCGATCACGACGGACAGGTTAATTTCCAAGACTTCGTGTACGGCATAAAAATGGCCACAGATACGGACGTGTTGGACAGGATGACTTGGGCCCTGAGACTCCTGGAGGCCAGTGGTGTTTATTCACTGCCGTTTGCCAGTGTGAGTCCCTCATAACCCCCCATCTTCAACATTCAAAAGGAAAACTACTAACACCGAACCTTGACCCCGTGGCGCAGTAACACCACAGCCAACAACTAAACAAACCCCCCGCTGTGGTGTTTATTTTCAATTTACTTACGAAAAACCCCCCTGATGTCGTACTTCTTTTACTACACCAGCCCAGCAGTGATGATTCTGAAAATACCCAGGCTAATTTGTCGACAGGTATTCCATGCATGATTTGCTTGGTGGTAGGTACAGCAATTTTAATTTCGCCTCGAATATGCAAGAGCTGAAAATATTAATCCNTAGAAATTTTTAACCGAGATTCATGAAAATATTTTTCAACAGGTAACTGAATCGATTTCTCAGGTATTAACGTGATGTATCCACACTATTCATAGTTGTATACAAGAGCCAGTGAACTTGCATGCGTTAATTTGAAAAATTTTCGTCAAATGGATCAAAAGAAAAATGCTCAACGGAATCCTAACTTAAAAAGAGCCATACCTGATGGCATTTCGGAAATTCTTATTTACGATTCCCTGTTCATACGAGAAGCTTCGTTTCGCTTTCATGAATCTTAAAAATATATATATTTTGGGTTTGAAATGCCAGATTTCAGGGGGTTTCAGGCACGAATAATTCAAGTTGTCCTGCATTTCTTTTCAAGACGGTTTTCAGCAAATTGCTGCCGGGTGGACTAAAGTCTGCCACATCGACCTTTCGGGCCATCGACACCGATCACGACGGACAAGTCAATTTCCAAGACTTCGTGTACGGCATAAAAATGGCCACGCTATGCCTGCACAACCTGTCCTACTGAACCCGGGACTCTGAGGACCTCCGGTCACCACAAATAAGTGACGGCAAACGGTCACACTCAGGGAGTATTGGGGGGTAGAAGTTGTAAGTTTTCCTTTTGAACTAACACCGAACCTTGACCCCGTGGCGCAGTAACACCACAGCCAACAACTAAACAAACCCCCCGCTGTGGGTGTTTATTTTCAATTTACTTACGAAAAACCCCCTGTCGTACTTCTTTTACTACACCAGCCCAGCAGTGATGATTCTGAAAATACCCAGGCTAATTTGTCGACAGGTATTCCATGCATGATTTGCTTGGTGGTAGGTACAGCAATTTTAATTTCGCCTCGAATATGCAAGAGCTGAAAATATTAATCCCCGGGGGAACCATCCCAGTAACTTCCTAGTGCGGCTCAAAAGCCGCGTTTTCTATGCGTTGATGAAAAAATTCCTCTCTTTTTGCCGATGATGTTCGATTCGGCAAGGATTTCTTATCGATGACCTTCACGTTATTGTTTCTGCCCAAGTGAGTTATTTTATTTTTTTCAAACTTGCCTTATGGACATCGCAGAATTTTACGGATGGGTGGATATTGCTCAGATGATTGAAAGAATGCTTGATTATTGGTTTTTTATTTCTTTTAAAGAATGGCACAGGAACTCGCATTGCTCATAAATTTTGACGAGCGAAAAAGCAAGAACTTGAAACGCAGAAAATCTCAATTCTGATGCGAATGAAAGAGAACTTTGATTTAATTCCCATGGGACTTCTGAAGTTGAGCGTCAATTCTGATGCGAATGAAAGAGAACTTTGAATTAATTCCCATGGGATTTCTGAAGTTGAGCGTTAAAAAGGCAGTTTTGAATTTCTTGCATATTCATTTCTTTTCTTTTATGACGCACGTGAAGGATCTCCGTATGCATTTTTTTTTGGAAACGACGCATTAGGGAGACATTTCTTGAGTCGTGTTTCATTTGAAATCGACAGATCAGCAGTTCACAACACGCTTGTAGTATAAGAGGAATTTTTCTTAGAAAATTGTAAATATTATGAGGAAAAAATCAAAATAATCCACCGAGTTAAATCCTTACCGTGTGAGCAGCCTCTCGAGAATGCTTAATTCCGTGTTCGTTTTCTCCGTACGGCAGTGTTGAAGGTTAAAATGAAATAGAAATTACTCATCCCATGTATCCTCAACACAGCCGTTCGAACCTCTTTGATGAAATATGGGCTTCAATTGTCCGACTAATGCGTTTTTCTTTTCATTTTAGTTATGCAATAGAATAATAGATGATGTGGCGCGCGTGTGTATGCGAGAGGAATTCTGAAAGCTTATTGTTTTGGACAGACGCAGAGAATCGTAGTCAGGTAATTGTGCCTTGCAAGCTTACGCATTGCACAATCTTTCAGACTCGGTTGAAAGCTTTTCTTCAACTTGCTGAATTGATCATGATATTTTACTCAAAGAAACCCGCAAATCTTTATAATAATACTCGCCGCATTTCTTGAACGTTCTTCCGTCCACACCAAGGACAAGCATCGAAAATCTTTATCGTGCAGTTGAAATTTAATGATCGCGTTGTAAAAATATCGCCGCACTGAAGCAGCTTCAGCTGATTTATTCTCGAAATTTGATCTACGGGAATTAATAGAATATAATTGGCATGGCCTGAAAACCGTATTATAAAGAAGTACCGTAATTTACTTCATTAACCGAAGAATATAATTAATAGGAACAAGGTCTCAAGAAAAGGAGGTGATTTCGAAAGAAAAATGATGATAGATTCAAAATTTAGAGAACATCAAGGACAAGCAAGGGATGATATTTCAGCCTCCAATGAGGTACTTGGTGAACGTGAATTTATATACAGTACAGTATTGTGAAAATTTATCATAATTTCCCATTTTTTCTTAATACATCAACGAATTAAAAATCGACAATTCACGAACACTGATGAAAAATTATATCTTAATAAATTTATCATGATTCATGAGTTTGGTATTGATTGTTAAAATTGTTCAACGTACCTCAGCGTCGGTTTCAGAACTTTATAAAAAAGAAATACGCAGGAAACCACCCATTTCGTCCAAGTAGGAAATTTACCGCTCGAGGAACTTCACGATTAATTAGTCCCGTCACCAAAGAAAAAGAGAATTGATGGGTTGTTATAATCAATGGCGTCCGAGAAGCGAAAATTCCTTCATATTTTGAACTTAACAGAAACCAAGGCAGGCAGAAATGCAGTACTGTACTTGTACTTCGTTATAAATTATGTTACAGAAAATCCGGGGGCTCAGAACAAATCGTTTTCATAAGTGCCAACATTTTTCGCCATTAGCTGAATGGATTCAGGAAATCCGTTCGCACAAACAATTTGCCGTCAAATTAACAGAACAAACCTTGAGTTTCTTTTTTTCCCGCGTTTCGATGATATCTGATTGAAATTTCAAAAGGTACGAACAGCGTGGGAACGCTGTCCGGGTAACGGCATTTTCAAGTTATTGGGTTTTGTTTGTTTTTGTTTTGTGAAGGGATCAATAGGGAAGCCTTTGTCAAATGCCACTCAAATCGTCACGACAAAACGGGAAGGGAGAAAACCCGTATTAACATCGCATTTTGATCTAATATTTATATTCTTAAATCTCTGGAGAGGAAACCGAAACAATATGCTCGTTTTTTAGGTTGGATTATATTTTAGCACTTACTTCAATATTTTCTATTGACCTTCGAATATTCATCTTTATTAAAATTAGTTCACATGTAGAAAGAGCTTTCAACTTCACAAATAAAATTTAAAAGTTTTCTTCATGGTAGTGCAGTAACAGATTTACTTGCTTGGGAGGTTGACGTCACTTGAAAGAAAATGCCGACGAACTTCGCTTTCGTCCATCTTTATTTCAAGGCGTTCCATTAGACCATCAGTCACCCTGTTACAGAGGGGAAAAATTTTTTCAAGAGAAAGTGAAATAAGTGCGTCTAATATTATGTCATCTAAAGCTCAACGACCATGGATCCAGGACCTAAAAAAACGTTCTAATTTCCAAGAGATTTTCTCGAATTCCAGCGCTGAATTAGGCAACTTCTCACTCGCCGCTGAAAATTTTTGAAGACTTCACCATATTTCAACTCTAACGCTGTAATTGTCAATATCTGCTCATATTTTCATATACTGAAATTTATCTGTTTGATTAGGAACACGGTCACGAAGATTTCACTATGTACACTGGTGCAAGGCTTCAACGCGTCTACTTTATTTCTAGTCTCCATAATATGCCTCTAAAAAAGATGGATTAAATTGTTGATAAATGTCCGAATATTTGACAATTTCAACGAACTGTAAAAGTGCAGTCATTTATGTATTGAATGTAAAATTCGGAAGTAGGTTTAAAAAAAATCCAAATCGTGCACTCAATTATCCTGTTTTCTCAGGCAACTTCTTTGCTGAAGGATGTCGTGCGTTCAGCCGAAAATTCGCAGCTCGAGCGACCCGTTGCCGACGATGCCAAGGACCTGTTGTACGAGGCTGAAAAACACGGGGGTTACGTGGACATTCCGAGCCTCATCGAAATGTTCAATACTGCAGCATTACTCTACCGACATGGCACCACTGCTAAAGCATTCCTCTACCCATAAACACGATGGGGTTCTCACGAAATCTCCCATTCTTTTCTTCTTCTTTTTTTTTTTTTAAGGCAAGGGACGAAGACATTTGCCAAACAATAAAAGACACTTGCCAATAAAAACGTTTGATGTATTTTTCAGCCAAAACTTTCATTTCGCGGGACTTTATGATCGTTATAGCAAGAGACGATCTGGGCTCGCGTAAAAAATCGGATGTGATGGAGCGGTGACCGCACGGAATGCGGTTCGGATACCTGTACTTTTTTTGTGTGTACATGCTGTATATTTACTTTTATTTTTGCATGCATTTTACTTTTTCTTGAGGCTGGGAAAGATTGAATGGCGATCGCATAACCAAAGCAGGGGTTACGAGGTAGTCGACCCAGGGAACTGTTTGATTAGACGAGAGAACGTTATCTATGCGTCCGCACCGTGGGATAATAAAAAAAAACTAGCTTCTGGACTGTTTTTTTCCCGCTTGGATTATCGATAATACTTTGGATACATGGCAACACAGTACTAGGACTAAAAATGTTTTTAGGCAATTGACTACCGAAACCTTATTCGGCCAGTCAGTGCCTTTCAGGCATAATGACGTGTGCTTCATGGGAATGTTAGTGTCTTGTAAAAACACAGCCGCCGAAAAAATTACTCATTGAGCGGGTTAATGCTATCCATTATATCCCGGCATAAATAAATAGATGAAAAATTTCATTTCTAGAAACATGGGAAATGACTAGGAATACGAAAAAAATAATATTGTACATTAATAGTAACCAACAACTCCTTAGACAAAAATGGTTAAAACTTGTTGAAAAACGGACTTCTCGCTTCCTTGTCTGTTCCTGTCTCAAAATAAAATAATGTTGTGGATTTAAATAATTCAACGGAATAGAAGGCGCAAAGGAAACATTGAGAAACGACTTGCGACGGATGAAAAAAATAATTCAGCATCGTTGAGTCCAAAATGAGAGGGGTCAAATTTATAAAAGAATAAAAACTTCCTCATAAAATACGTGTTCTTGTGGCGAGTCCCTCAGTATACTGCAATTTTCCTAAAAGCAATTTTTACGGTGATATTTTCCACTAGAAACATGGCTTCTTTCACGGTAAATAAAAAAATTTGCGGTTCCCATGGATATGCAGGACGAAAGAGGATTGCTGTAAGTTCTTGGTCGCGAGGATCTCAAGGTAAAATTGATATTTCAGTTCACGGACGAAAGACGCATTACTAGTACAGTACTCTGAAGGCATTGAAGTTGGCAGAAAAAGAATATTTTTTTTTAATGTCGTGTGAATACTTTCTGCGAGAGAGATCTACGACTTCCGCATCGGCATCCAATGAAACTGGAAATCGCGGAAATTTTTCTGTGGAGGCCTTAAAACGGAATTTCTTACTTCTTTCGATACTCAGTTCAGTAAAATATTTTTAAAATAATTTTCAAACGCGAAGAAAATATAAATTCCAAACATTTTTTTTACAAAAGAGGCCCGTTATTCCTTTTGGAATTTCCGATCGCAATTATTTCTGGCGCGCTCATTTCGAGAATCGACATGGTTTTGTTCAAGGCTTTCTTTGAATTTTGGTGCGATTTGAAAAAAATGCGCCTTCGTATTTTTTGAAAAAACACACGTAATCTAAAAACTGGAGGCGATATCGGAATTTACTTTTGGACTCGAATGGCATTTACAGACCTATTGATGTTTTAATTTATCCCTGCGCAAGATTCCCCGACTCTTTGAACATGCACATTATTGAGGTCAACTGCGTAACCCGGGTTACTTCGCACTCGTTTTTAATTGAAAACGGCCTTAATTTTCTATTGAGACCATTCTTAAACAATATCTGGCTTCGGTTTTGAAAATGCAAATACTGTACAAAAGAAATGCTTCGCAAGATGCCCTTGATGGCTTCTGGATTTGTGACGCACGTAGGATATGAAAGAGCGAATGCGGTTTCAGAAATATTTTTTTTAAAATCGTGATTTTCATGGAGTCTTTTTCATTAATTCCGATGGTTTTATCTCGGCTAGTCTCTTCGGCATTTAGAAATCATAAAAATCACCTGATGTACCTTGACCATAATAGTTCAGGAACCGATTTTAAATTGACCAAGATACCTCATTCAGTAGAATGTAAGACAGAATTCGTTCCAAGAATAAAAATACGTACTTTTTGTATTTGAGCATCAAAGGTACACGTATATTGGTATATTGATGCCAAACAGAAAAAATACTTCCCAAGCGTTTTTAAAGATCAGACGAGTCTAATAAAATCGAACTTGAAATCAAATGCGTCATGAATGCTTTTAATTTCGTGTTCTTGTCACACTGAATATGTCCGAGATTCAAACATTTTCTTTCACAACGCAGCGTTTTTTTATGATTTCGATCCATTCATTATCACAGCACTGCTACATGCTATTTAGAATTTTATTTTGCATGCAGCAATTATTGACAAGGATCGTTTTATTGATTTGAGGCACAATGTCTATATTCATTAAAATAGTTTGTGATGGTTAGGAACAATTAATCTCCGTGAAAACGTAGAGGGTCATAAAATATAGGCTGCCTTTAGACCGAAGATTTAAAAAAAAAATGATCTTTTGGGGCATCTTTGAGTGATCGGTAAGTTTCTTGTTTGCATGAAGTTTCAATCAGCTCCACAGTGATAATTTGAAACGAAATCATGAGCAATTTCGTTCCTAATACAATTGGCACCTCAATAATCGTTAGTTGATAGGACGGCTATTAAATTGATATTTTCAAGAAATATTAACCAAAAATGAGAGGGCTTCCATGCAAATTGAACGCATGTCGTGAGTAAAAAAAAGAATAGCTGTTAATTCCTGCCAGGAAGATAGCAGAGAATTTCTTCGCATTCATTTTGGTTTTTTCGACTTTCCTTCCATAATTGATCCTACGCAGTACAGAGTTTCCCAGAGTCATTATTACGAGAAAAGTGTCTCTTATTGTAATCAAAAAATGCAGAATTAACTTGCACAATAATTGAGGATTTCAAAATGCAGGATTCTTGCATCAATTCGCAAATTGCTCTGAGAGGATTAGTTTCGGACCGCGGGCGCAGCTTAATTGCGTTACCGCGCCTCGGTCACCAGGAAAACTGCGAAGAAATCCGCGCGCGAAAGTGGCCATAAATATGTAAGAGGAAAGTCCCAACCCAATCATTTCGCACATTCGATTATGCCATATATTTTCGCATTTAGTGGCTACAAGTGCTACGAGGCGGCAACTGAGGTTTCCACGAAGTCCCGGCCATTACAAGCGCCGACGTTCCGCACCTGATCTACAAACTGCTCATCATTTTCCAACGAGATTAGCGTTAATTTCTTTTTCTTTTTTCTTTGCTCACCCAGTAATTACGGCCTTCATGCAGCAGACGTCGACATGCTCTGCATCCCCTAATAAATAGTACCCGATTTCTTTTGTTCAGTGAACAAAACAGTAGGTTTTCAAAACAGACTCAACAGCCCAGTCCTTTACTGTTCGACGGCATAAAAACTGGTATGCAAGTCACATTTTTCATGCACACTTCCATATGTTGTTGAAAAGGAGAATAAAATTACGAATATGCTGTCGTCTTCGACATCGTTACCATAAAATATGAGCAGACAGCGACAGAAGGTATTTATTGCATAAACGGTTGTTGGCAGAAGCGCAGGTGGTCAATTGCACCATCAACACCAAATCCTAACCATGATGTTTTCGTGCCTCCCCATTCCTTGTGGTGAAAAATTCCTGAGTACTGATTTTATCCAATTTATCAAAGGAAAAAGTTCTTGGGGCCTAAAAAAATGTGTCCTCGAGAGAGAAATGAGAGGCTGCCAGTTTTTTTTTTTTTATCTTTGCACAGTGGAGAAAATGCTGCTCATGGAGACCGCTGGAAAATATTTCGAAGATCGATAATTTAGCTTTCAAAGATGCGTTGTGCACTTCGAATTTGTAGAAGAAAAAAAAATTCCATGATACTGTTTTGGAAAACGAGGAGTATGAGAGAGGGGTTAAGGCGTGTCAAGCACTTGAAATGAAATTATCTGAGCGTCGAAGTTACTGAGTCAAAATGCTTAAAACCACAATGGGACCACAAATAGTTTTCGTTTATTGTATAATAATCTTTATTCACGCATTCCTGAAGCAGGAAATTATTGTTTCACACATAGAAATTTCAAGGCAACCTTTACGTCAAATATCACTTTTGGGGATTTACCAAGATCACGACGTTTTTCACGGAAACATGGTTGTCATCATCCAGACGTAGAACCTGACCATCTCTATAAAGATTTTGAAAACTATTTCAAGAATTCAATTTGTCTGCGAATTCAACACTTCCAGGTGTGTCGTCAAGTAGGCCTTATTTGTTTTAATGCTTTTTTGCAAATTAATTCTTCATTTAGAAGTGAGGTAATGATCGGAATGAACCAAATTGAGTGAAGTACAGTATTCTAGAAATCTAAAATATCGAGATTTCGCGGACCACACGACTGTACAGACTACAGTATTTTTCATCGTTGAGCTCCCGGGGGTTTGAAAATATGATATCTATTAAAATCGTAGTTTCAACTACTGTTTTACACCACGGCGAAAATACAGTACTGCCGCATTATGTATTATACACAGCTTTCAAAAAGTAATCGACAGACACGAACCGGTAATCTCGTGAAAAATCTTGTGACTTGATATGCTTGTCTCGGTGCTTTTTTACGTCACGAATTTTCAATGTACGACTTTAAGCGAGTAATCCGCCATAAAAGCTCGATTAGTCCCGTTCTTCTGTTGTAAACCTATGCAATGACGTCAGGACATTAAACAAGTCAGTACTATGATTTTTTTTCAACTGACGGGTAATCTGAGCGATTAAATCTATTGACCAGGTTTTTTATTCTTAGGAAGGTACAATTTTTGTCATGAAAACAATGCTAAACGCAACTCGGTGAACATTTGATCTGCCTTCCGAAACGTTTGTGGAGCTAAAGCTACTCATATATGACGCGAAGTACTTGTCAAAATGTATCTCTGTCAAACATTTTTCTTCAAGTCTGTTGATTTAATTACTACACGGAAAGTACAGTACAGTATCCAGAAACGCATTCACACTCGCAAAAATCGGAATAGG